AAAAAAAAAGAACACACTGAGGTGGACAATAGTGTAGTGATTGCTGCGGGGAGAGATGTGTGGATGAAGGTGGAAATGGTTATGGGGGGATAAATGGTGATGGGGAAAATTTAATTTAATTAAAACAAACAAAAAATAAATAAAACAAAAAAATTAAGAATTATTTTTGCCCTGAGAGTATGGAGTAATTATTCTTCATAACGTACATTTAAAAAATAAGTATGAGACAGAAAGTGCATACTATTTGTTTGTGTGTGTGTATGTATATGATGGTTGAATACACAAAAATTGAATAATAAATATTAACAGAGAAGAAGGAAATAGGATCAGGGCTTCAGGATAATAATTTTATTGGTAATATTTTATTTCTACTTTGAAATGCTTCAATAATAATAAGTAAAATTAATTTTTAATGGAGAACAGTACTTCTAATGTTGCTATATATTAGTTTACAAATAATTTTTAACAACCTGTTGTGGCGCGAGAGAACCGAAAGACCACTGGAGCCGAATTAAGGTCAAATAGAGAGCAATTGATTAGCCGGCTGGCGACTGATCCCTATTCCTCCAAACCGGAGTTTTCCGAGATCAGCCCTGGCTTTCAGTTACACTTTGCTTTTAAAGGGGGTTGTTTTGCACTTCTGCAATTGGCATTTCCTGATAGCTTAAGGGCGGTGCAAGCGGGCAAACACAGGAGCAGACATGGCGGTTAGCGATAAGTGGAACTTAACGGCAGGCAGTACATTCTGCGGTCAAGGCTGTAAATCTTATCCTATCTTTTAGGTTGGGAAGAACAAGAAGTTGACTCAGAGGACAGCCAGCTGGTATTTTTCCACCGAGGAATTTACTTCTATAATTGACCCATTCGAGATAGTGTTTATTGTCAAATTTATGTGTCATCACATTCCCCACTGGTTTTTCTGGGGGAATCAAATCATTGTTTCCTCATCTAAGTTCTGGATTCTCTGATAATGGGTACTCAGAACCATGAGTTTTACAGATTGAATTCTGTCTTTAATATATTTTGTTAGGCAGTTAATGACTATTGAACCAAAGGGCAGTCCCAATAATAATAATAATAGTGGTCCTGCTATTGCTGAGAGGAGGGTTGTTAGCCATGGGGACCAATTATAGAGACCTTCAAACCAACTGTCTTTGTTCTTCCCTTTCTTTAATTCTTTGTCTGACTAGAGACAGGTTATCTCGTATTACCCCCTAATGGTTAGCATAAAAACAACAAGTTTCCCCTAGGGCCACACATAAACCTCCCTGTTTTAGAAAAAAGAGATCAAGTCCTCGTGTATTTTGTAGTACTGCTTCAGCTAAGGAATTTAGGGATTCTTCTAAGTGTGAGACAGAGTTCTCTAGATCAGACAAGTCTTGATCTATTTGTTGACTTAGCGCCTTAAAGTTCTGGTCCCCAGTGACTAGAGCAGTCGTTCCTATAGTTGCGGATCCAGCTATTCCTAAACCGATGAGGAGAGGGATTAATATGGGTGCTCGTTTCTGCTTTCCTGCCTGTATTCCAAAATGTTCATGACCACCTTCACCGGAATAGAAATAGACCTGTGGAATGACATGAGTTAGTATACATAGACCAAAATCCCTAGTATGAGGATTGATGCAAGGGGTGAGTCCAGTAGTACAGGCGAACCAAGTCCCAATAGGGGCTACAAGAAATAGAGGGCTTCCATTATCTTGGGTGTAGTCTGAGTCCTGTAGAGTAATAGTCCGCCAACAAGAGTCCTGATATGGTGATTTAGCCAAGTTATAACTCAGAGATGATAAGCATAGTCCTTGCCCTTGTAGGTCTCCTAAAGTTAGTTTTGGCTCTTGTCTCCATCTATGGGCTTTTTCTTTCTGGGCTTCTTCAATGGATAAGTTCTTTACCTCGGTAGGAGAGGACCCAAGGGAGCTGTTGGATCCAATTCCTACGTAGTAGGGTGGTGAAGGATTCAAGCAAAACCAGCAATCTTGAGTCATTTCTGGATTGGTATCATCTACGAATCAAAAAATGGCTTCTAAGATGTTTAGGAGGGATCTGCTCGATGGCTGAGGCCTTATCTCAGGCTCAGGAGAGCTAGTTAATTCACAAAATGAATAATCAGTTGAAGTGGGAAGCCGTGAAGGCTCAGAGGTTGCTAGGTATGGAATGTGCTCCCTCTCTTGTGGAGAGTTGAGGACAAAATTAGGGCACATGGGCTTAGGAGTGTGTTTAATAGGAGTCTTCTGGATTGTGAAGGTCGTTTCAGGGTCTTTATATGCTACATATAGTCGCAGACCCCACATTTTTCTTGTAAGCCAATCAGGGTCGTTAGGTTTGAGTATAGTTATTATGCTGGGGTTACAGTTATTAACTTGCGAACAATGTTCTGGCCTGGGAGTAGTTAGTCTTTGTAGCTTTATGTCAGGGTCAGTATTTCTCCAAAGTGCTAAGGTTACATAACTCCAGGAGGCACAGAAATGGTCAGATATAGAGGCACAATGGGGACTCTCTTTATTTGGACACGCGTAGTGTTGGGTATGCCAGAGTCCCCTTTCAAATCTGAGAGATTCACATCTATAATTATCCCCACTAGTACCTGAATATGAGCTTGCTATAAGACTTGGGTTTTTGGTTACTGATAAGGTTCCCCCGAACAGATTACAAAGATCAAAATATAGATCTGGGGCTCCATATGTCGAATTTGTGGCAATTATGTGTCCATCAGAAGTTTGGCTGGGTCCATAGGTGTTGAGTCGGTCGGTGGGGATTTTCTAGAGTTATAGTGGCCCATGTTAACAAGATTAGGACCGACAGAGTTTTACCTTTAAGGGGTCTTCTGTTCATTGGAGGGTCCATTTTTCTGGTATCTGATCAGGGTGTGTCTTTTTTACCTGAGTGTAATGAATCCAGAAGCGGCGGCCAGAGACCTTAAGGGCTATAGGCGTGGTAAAGATTACGGGTAGCAGCCCAGTCCATCTAGGTTCAAGGGAAGTAGGCTGAATTTTCTTGATCCACACCCAGTCACCAGTTTGATGTCGTGGAGGTCTGTGTTACCTGGAGGAGAAGGCTTGGTACGACAGTTGTTTATCATTTGATGGTTTTTCTGCTGGATCAATTGTAAAGCCTGTAAGGACTTAAGATAATGGTTACTTAATTCAGCTAAAGCCTCCTCTCCTAACTTAGGGAGGAGAGGAGGTGGTCTCCCATATATTATTTCAAAAGGGGATAGTCCTTTGATGTAAGGGGGTACATCTAACTGGTAATAAGGCAAAAGGAAGGAGGCTGACACAATTTTCGCCTGTCTCTAATTTTAATTTGGTAATTGTTTCTTTTAAAGTCCAATTCAACCTTTCTACCTGTCCTGAACTCTGAGGCCTATATATACAGTGTAATTTCCAAGAAATGTTTAGAATTTTAGCTATGGTTTGAGTGATTTGAGCAATGAATGCCGGGCCGTTGTCAGACCCCATCACTAAGGGGAGGCCAAATCGGGGAACTATTTCTGTAATTAGTTTCTTGGCCACTACCTGAGCTGTTTCTGACTTAGTAGGAAAGGCTTCAGTCCAATCGGAGAAGGTATCAATAAAAACAAGGAGATATTTGTATCTGAATTTCCCCGGGGCTACTTCAGTAAAGTCTATTTCCCAATGTTCTCCTGGACTGCCTCCTCGAGTTCGAATTCCTGGTTCTCAGCAGTATTTAAGTTTCCTTTTAATTTTCTTCCAAATTCTTTTTCTTCCTCAGTATATGAGGGGATATCAGGGAGGCTCCGGGGTGGCAGGATAGGCAGAATCTGGAGAGGCCCCACTGGTTTTTGGGCAGCTTCTCTTGCGATCTGATCTGCAAAGGTATTTCCCCGAGCTATAGGATCATCAGTTGTCTGATGTCCTCTGCAGTGAATGATAGCAACTTTTTGGTGTAGCCATATGGCCTCAAGTAAGGCTAAGATCTCACCCTTATTTTTAATTTCTTTGCCTTCTGACGTGAGGAGTCCCTGCTCCTGATAGAGAGCCCCATGCACATGCACAGTAGCAAAAGCGTACCTGCTGTCTGTATAGATGTTCACAGTCATCTTTCCCCCAGCGTAGGGCCTGTGTTAGGGCTACGAGTTCCACCCTTTGAGCAGAGGTCCTGTGCCCTAATGCTTGTGCCCAGAGTACCTTATCGTGAGTTACTACCGCTGCTCCTGTGTATCTGGTACCATCTGCCATGAAGCTGTTCCAGTCAGTGTAGAGATCAGAGTCAGGGTCTGGCCAGGGAGTATCCTTGAGGTCTGCACGTAGATGTGAGTCTAGGACCTCTAGGCAATTATGGACAGGTTCAGCTAGGTCATCATCAGGCAACAGCATGGCCGGGTTCAGTGCTGTAGTCTTTAGGAATTGGATCCTTGGGGGGTCCAACAAGAGCACTTGATATTGGACAATTCTGGTGTGGGAAATCCAATGTTCTGGGGGACTTCTGAGGAGAGCCTCAACTGCATGGGGTGCTATAATTTGTAAGTCCTGCCCCAAAGTCAATTTAGAGGCTTCCTTTGTAAGAACTGCCATAGCAGCTATGGCCCTTAAACAGTATGGCCATCCGGAGGAAACAGGGTCTGTCCTCTTGGAGAGATAGGCCACTGGTCATCTCCAAGGGCCAACGGTCTGTGTTAGTACCCCTTTAGCAATTCCCCGGCTCTCGGAGACAAACAGTTGGAAAGGCTTGGTAAGGTCAGGTAGTGCTAATGCCGGAGCACTAGTGAGGGCCTTTTTTAGTTCTTGGAAGGCATCACCCTCTAATTTAGTCCATATTAGCTCGTCTACCTTCCCCTCCAGTGCTGGCGTATAGGGGCCTTGCTATTTCTGCAAACTGGGGTATACAAAGGCGACAATACCCGATTGCCCCTAGAAATTCCCGAACTTGCTTGTCTGTGGTCGGGGAATTTTTAGTATAGCCTCGATGTGGCTAGTGGAAAGGAAACGTTTTCCCCCTTTCAGTTCATATCCTAGATAGGTTGCATTCTCAGTGCATAACTGAGCTTTCTTTGCTGACACACGGGGCCCGAAGTTCCCCAATTCTTCTAGCAAGTCTCTAGTAGCCTTCTGGCATTCAGGTATAGTCTTAGCGGCTAGCAAGAGGTCATCTACATATTGCAGGAGGGTTACTCCTGGATGCTCCTGCAGGAATTTGGAGAGGTCCTGACTTAGGGCCTCATCAAACAAAGTTGGAGAATTTTTGAATCCTTGGGGAAGTCGAGTCCAGGTCAACTGTCCTGAAAATCCACCCTCTGGGTCAGCCCATTCAAAGGCAAAAATGGGTTGGCTTACCTTAGCCAGTGGCAGAGAGAAGAAGGCGTCCTTTAAGTCGAGGACAGTGTAGAAGGAGTGGTTAGGTGGTAAAAGGCTGAGGAGCGTATACGGGTTTGGCATGGTAGGATGTATGGTCTCAACCCGTTTATTTACCTCTCGGAGGTCTTGCACAGGTCTGAAGTCCTCAGTTCCGGGTTTTTGTACTAGTAACAGTGGAGTATTCCAGGCAGACTGACAGGGAACAAGGCTGCCTGTTTCACGGAGTCGTTTTATGTGCTTAGCGATGCTGTTTCTAGCCTTTAAATTAATGGGATATTGGTGGACTCGAACCGGAGTAGTGGAGCTGGTTAGTTGTACAATAATCAGGGGCTGGTGAGAGGCCAGCCCGGGTGGATTGGTTTCAGCTCACACATGGGGAACGGCCTGCTGTAATTCTTAGAGAAAGGAGCTAGGTTCAGAGGGCCCAGAGCCTCAAAAAGGATGTATTTTTCAGAGAGCGGGCAGGAAAAAAGTATGGGCAAGGGCCTGTCTCCTACAGTAAGAGTTGCCGCATCCCCATGAAAAGATATGGTGGCATGTAATTTCTGGAGCAGATCTCTGTCTAATAAGGGGTAGGGACAGTCTGGCATGACTAGGAAGGAGTGAGTAATCATCCCCTTCCCTCGGTCTGTTATGCCTCCCTGAGTCCATGGATATGACTTAGTTTTTCCTGTAGCCCCTTGTATAGAGGTTTTGTCTTTTGAAAGGGGTCTGTCTCCCGGAGGACAGAGAAGGTGGCTCCCGTATCTACTAAGAATTTGACTGGTTTGCCCTCCACATTTAAAGCCACCTTGGGCTCCCCTGGGCTTAACTGAAAAGAGCCCTGGCCCCCTCATTCATCATCCTCAAAGAGGATGGGAGCTCTTGGATGGGTCAGACGGTCCTTCCTCTTGGGACAGTTGTTTTTCCAGTGTCCTTTCTCCTTGCCGTAAGCACACTGGTCAGAGTCTAGGTTCTGTCTCTGTCCCCTATTATTCAGACCTTTTTTTCTGATTCCAATTTTTATTTCCTCTTTGTTTAGGTCCTTCGTTTATTGCTGCTACCAAAATTTTGGTCATTTTCTTAGTCTGAGCAGTATCTGAGTCATCACAATTATTGAAAACCCACTGAGCTATTTCTACTAGTTCACTTAAATTTTTCCCTTCAAAGCCTTCCAATTTTTGTAACTTCCTCCTAATGTCTGAGGCCAACTGAGTCAAGAAAGCAATATTAATAGCTTTCCTATTCTCAAGGGCTTCCCGGTCTATGGGCATAAACAATGGGTAAGCTTCCATTAGGCGCTGGAGGAGAGCGGCGGCGAATTCCCCTGGCCTCTGGACGGTTTCGCTTACCTTGGATAAATTGTGGGTTTCTTAGCTGCTCCCCGGATGCCTCGCAATAGAGTCAGGCAATATTATTCGAGACCCTCCTTACCTTGGTCAGTATTGGGGTCCCAATTAGGGCGAACGATAGGTAGTCGGTAGCTGAGGTGGGCAGGATCAGAGGTGGGTTTCTCCGTCTGGTCCGAGGACAGTTTTGGCTGCTTCCCTATGAATTCTGTCTCTTTCCTCAGATGTAAAAAGGACCTGTAAGAGCTGCTGGCAATCCCAAGTGGGCTGGTGGATGTGAAACACAGTTTCTAACAAGGAGATTAACCCTTGGGGTTTGTTGGAGAAAGAAGGGTTCTGCTGTTTCCAGTTATAAAGATCACTGGTGGAAAAAGGAACATATATCATAAAAGGTCGTTGGGGATCTCCTCCGAGTGGAGGGGCCATTTTCCGTAAGGGCAATATGGCTGCCGAAGATG